TCATAGTGTGAACTGAAATATAAATGGTTAAAGACATTGAGATGTCTTTGAGAAGGATACGTTGGAGCTTGAAGAGGATAGTTATTGAAGAGGATTTTTTGAAATTCCCTGACATATAAGGAGTGATTATCATTACTGCAATGCTTTATTGCAGGAAATATAGATGTTCTTCTAGGACTATGCTACCTCTCCAAGTAATTTCTAAATCAATACCAAAAGCAACTTTATTTGTGAGTGGAAAGCTAATGACAAAGACACTTTCCTTACATTTAAGAATTTTTTGGTAGTCCTCTTAAGAAACTTGCTCTTTTGTGTACAAACTGCATTAACTCCTTCCTTCCTTAATTTATTCTACACTGCATTAGTTTCAGTAGATAGCACTCTTAGATGGCAGATGGTTTGGAAGGGAAAAAAAATCTTGCTTTCTCCCTGGATTGTGGACTGTTAGCATGTCTACATAAAAGAACTATCAGATAAAATACAACATTGGCAAAATAAGTAAGGTGCAACACAGTGGGATAGTATCATGCCTTTTGGATTTTGTGCATCCTGTACTCCATTGCACAGCTTGAGGGATGGACAGTTCTTTGCATGGAGAAACTACTATATAAAACCCCCATGATATTTGATCCTCAGGCTTTCAAAACCATAGAAACTGGATGAATCAGTTCCTAGCTATGGAAAATTTCTTTTTCGAAAGAAAGGGGCTAATCAGATGATGCAGAGGAAGAGCTATTTATATATATTACTATTTATAGGAAGAGATTAGGGCTGTGATTCCCAGATTCAAGAAGTCACTTAATTCAGTTTGCATCCATATCTGAAAAAACATGAAATTTCAGATATAACCTCTTTTTAATGTGTTCCATTATTTTTTTTAATTTAGCCAATTTATTCAGCTTTATTTTGCAGTGCACTCTCTCTCTGTCTCTCTCTCTCTCTCCTTCTCCAAATATTTTGACTGATAAACGCATGTAATTAAGGCACTCAAGTATGTGGTCAGAAGATTCAGCTCTCAACCGAACTGTGAACTTGCTCTTTTTTATTTTTTAGAAAGTATCTGAGGATGTTCTTGTATTAAGAACACGCACACACACACACACACACACACAGACACACACAGACATACACACACAGAAGAAAAAACACCAAAATCTGTATGTAATTTAACTTTTGAACTATTAAAATTAAATCAAAAGACCACTGAATAATTGAATGGGAGTGTTTTTCAGTTCTTTATCTCTCTGTACAAGAGATTTTATGCAAGTCTTCCTTTTGTAAAGATGGAACATTTGAGATTTTTTGAATGCTCAAAATATCAGATATAACACCTAGTAATATTTTATCAATAAAGTATTACAAAATTAATTTCCCTTTGGTTTTGAGTCCCCATATAATTTTTAATAAATTTATGGTAAATAAAAAGTTAATTTTTCAGAGCCTTTACACTGTTTTACCTACTAAAAATAAAATATGCATTAAATATTTGTAGCACTTTATAATTTTGAAATTAAGTGTGAATAAGACTTGTTTCCCTTGGAACAGACTCATAGCTTTCCCTCTACTGTGCTTTCCTCAAAACAAGATCTTTTCTATCATAAATATATTTGGCTACACATCCAAGTTGCCTATGCTCCCTTTTCTGAAATGGAATCTGAAATTTCTGGGGGATGAAGAAAGGGGAGTAAAGGAGTTTGCAATAAACAATTGAGGTGAAAAAAATAATTTAGTTGCCTTTGAAGTAAAATGTTGTAAAATATGCTTATTCAATCATTCGTAGGTTGAGGGAAGACTAGAAAGTAATAGTTTTTATTTTTTAAACTTTTATGAGATACTCTAACACTTTGGGAGGCATAGGTGTGATACCATTCTAAAAAACAGAACAGCAATCTATTAACTTGACAATATGTTGTATTAAATTAGTTCTGACATGGAAAAATAGGATTTTGAATAATTTCTTAGCACTATTTGCCCAAGAGATAATATATATATACATTAATTAAGCAACCAGGGTAAAGAAGTTTTGCTTACCTGATTGTGCTTTTATCATTATTTACAATCACAGCTTATTCTAAATACAAAAATAATTGCTATTTTCAAGCTTGGTAAGGTGCATAGGAACATTTTAATGTACTGGTTTCAAAGAGTACCTCTAAGCGTATTTCTTAGGTTGCAGATTCCCTGAGTTTTTAACATGGATAATTCAATATTGTAGCATTCAAAACTAAACATTTATTTTAACAGGATGGCTGTGATGAGAAATCCTGCTTCAAATATGGCAATATAGGACAAATAAAGCAATGAAGGCTGTATGAAAGGAGGCTAATAATGTTTTGGGAAGGTATTATCATTTTAAGGAAGCAGATATAAGGGTACATTGGAGTATTTGGAGGACTATTTTTCTACATGAGGATGAGTTCTAATGCACATCTACATATCAACCTTAATTCAATCAGTATTATAAAACTGCTACATTCCCTGTTCTGCATGTCTTGACACTTGTGGAAGTATACTGGTCACAGCAATGCTCACCCAACAGTTTTCATTGTTAAGAACCATCTCACTCAAAATCATCCTATGGTCAAAAGGCTAAAACCAGTGTAGAGCCAATAATTTATAGTTAGTCAGTTGTTTTTTTTTAACAGTCCAATAGTCCAAATTATCTATGTAATACAGAAAAGACGAGATAATAATAAAGGGGTTTTTTGTTTCTTTCTTTATTTGTTGCTGTTATGTTCAACCTGCCAGTGCCCCTCTGTTTTTTTCATGCTGATCATTCAGAATGCCTTGAAGAGAAGCATGGAGAAATACCACAGGTCCTTGCCAGAACGCATGTGATGTTCACAGTGGGACTTTATTCCTCTCTCCAGCCAGTAAAAGCATGATCTCAGTATCACCACTTTCTTTCTTTTCAGCTTGGAGGTCTATTTTGATCTGTTATGGCAATTCACCTCTTTTTCTGACTGACCAGGGAAGCAGGACCAGCATCCAACAAACAGTATTACATAGTCCTGGCTCAGTCTGTAGAGCCTTGAGTCAATTTTACTGGGACAAAGAGCTCCAAATTTTTATAGGGATAATTACTTTTTCATATTTTTTGAAACTGAGAGGCTTTAAGTCTAAGGCCACATTTTCCAAAGGTGACCTCTAATTTCTCAGGTTTTTGCTGGATGACTTCAGTATAGTCAGAGGATCTGGGATTTTTTTCCCAGCCTGCTAAGTTCTCCCAGCACAGATCACTATGAAGGGTGAACACTCAAGTCAAGGTGTGTCTACATGGGTATCAACCCCCTGGGTAAATTAATTGTGTCAGGATGCAATTCCTGTACTCAACATCATACATCATGTCAGATGGAAATATGCATTTGCTGATGCTGGGTATGAGAACTCTCACTCCAGTAGTGAATTAATGGATTTATATTTCCCATCTGTTTTAATTCATGACCTTAGTAAAGGGTATTGAATTTCAAAGAAAAAGAGATCAGGCACTTTGTTCAACCTTATACAATATGACTTAAACCATCAATCCAGTGTCTCCTGATCCTTCCTACCCTCCAGCAGATCAAAACTCTTACCTAACTTGATGTCCTCTGCAAACTGACTGAGAGTGCACTTTTATCTCCCCTGTCCAGACCATCAAAGATGTTAAATAGGACCAGCCCCAGTACTAAGCACTGGGGGACACCACCAGCTGCCAGCTGAATATAATTCCATTCACCACCACTCACTCCCTGGGTTTGGACATCCAGCCATTTTTTTTCCCAGTCACACCCATCTACACCATGGGAAGTCAGTTTCTCCAGAAGAATGCTCTGTGAAACTGTGTCCAGGACTTAAGTACAGGATCACAACAGCCACAGCCTTTCTTTCATCCACTAGGCAGGTCACCTTGTCATAGAAGGGAATCAGCTTGGTCAAGCAGGACCTTCCTTTCCTAAACCCATGCTGTCTGGGTCTGAATACCTGATTATCCTGCACATATTGCATGATGGCACTCAAGATGATCTGCTCCATGACCTCCCCTAGCACTGAGATCAGACTGCAGGTTTGTAGTTGCCCAGATTGTACTTCTGACCCTTGTAGATGGACATCACATTTGCTAACCTCCTGACAACAGGGACTCTGCCAGTTCAGTAAGTATTGTCAGGTGAATCCATCCAGCCCTGTGGACTTGTGCAGGTTTAAGTTGCTTAGCAGGTTGCTGGTCATTCCCTCCTGGATGAAGGGGGTTTCATGCTGCTCCCAGATCATGAGAGTGGATACCTTAAAGACTATTGTTCTGGCTATTAAAGAGTGAGACAAAGACGACCTCAGCCTTTCCCTCATCCTTTGTAATTGTATTTCAGTCCACATCAAAAGGATGTGGATTGAAATCCAAATCAAAAGGATTTTACTCCACATCACAAAAGATGGAGATTTTCCTTCACCCTGTTGCTGACGTATTTGTACAAAAAAATTATTCTTGCGTTTTAGAGCAGTGGCCAGATTAAATTCCAGATGGTCTTTGGCCCTTCCACTTTCCTCCCCACATAACCTCACAATATCCTTGTAGTCTGACTGACTTGCCTGCCCCTTCTTCCAGAAGTGATACACTCTTTTTCTCACCGAGTCCTGTTGGGGAGGGTAGATAAATATGATTAAGAACCACAAAGGTACAGCCAGGACGAGTATAACGCCCCCTACTGGCTGGACAATTACCCTCACCTACAGCGGGGTCCAAAAGCCGAATGGATTCTCCCATGTCACCCCCCAGAATGTATGGTTCACCCCACATCTGTAACCCTCCCCTGAACCATCAGGTGCCTGTGACCCCATTGGCCCAGGTCCTGTTCCAGCCCACCCTGGAGCCCCCCTTGATAAGGGGTCTCCAGGGGGCTGGACGCCCTCTTGGATCTTCCCTTCCCCTCCTGGAGAGTCCTCCGGGAGTCCCTGCTCTCCTCTCTGTCTCTCCCCTCCCCCATCACCCGAGGCCCAGCCACGTGCTGTGTCTGGCAGCTCGAGGCAGGGTCACAATGTATCCTGAATAAACCTCTTCCCCCAAGAGCAACCAAAGAGATCTCGCTTGAATCTGTCCGTGGAATACAAATATACGTCGTTACAGACTGGCGCCCATCGTCGAATACGAACCCACGGTGACCTGCAACTGCACCCGTCTGGATGCTTTCCAGCTTTTCTACCTGTAGGACACCTTTCCATGGACACTAACTATATAACCAGGTATTTCCTCGCCATCGTGATCGCGAGCACGGCATTCTGCTGCTAGGCAGTAACGAACCGGAGCTCTTTAAAAAGTCCCGAAGCCGTCCTACAGCTCAGCGACTCGTTACATAGTAGCGAGCTATTAGAGCCCTTATACGACTTCTGGCCATTATTCTCCGAGCACAAGAGATCGCCGCGATTCCGCGGCGACCCAAGGCTTTGTGACGAGACTTGCCGCGCCACGTGGCCACGTACACAAAGCACAGGCGAGCACTGCTTAGCACTGCCCGCGCTGAAGCTCTGGAAAAACCCCGCGGTGACCTCAGCACCGACTGCAGTAAACGTCGGACCCTGACAGAGGATCCCGCTCCTGCGACACCGAGGTGAGCCACACTGGTTTAAAAATGGGACAGTCCCACTCTGCAGCTGATAGAGATCTCTATAAGCAACTTAACCACTTATTACGTAGCCATAATAGTAATTTGCCTAAAAAAGAGCTACGAAAACTCCTAGAATGGATCTTACTTAAGTTCCCATATGCCGAGCGCTCTGCTGTGTTTTGTGGAGACTTTTGGGAGTCCGTGGGACATACACTGTTTAACGACATTTCACGGCGGGACCCCTATGCTTGCGAATTGCTCCCTGCTTATAGAGTGGTGGCAGGAATCTGCGCTTCTCAAAAGCCGCAGATAGCAGCCAAACCGCTCCCCGCCGTGGCTCAACAATCCCCGCCGGACTGCACCCCCACCCCGCGCTGCGGCGAGAATGCCGGCGAGGCGGCTGGCGACTCGCCGGTTTCTGAGCGAGCGGCGCTCCCTGCCGCAGCCGCGCCCCCCCTCACCCGCAACCCAGAACCCGCCCTTGCGGCCACCTCCTCCCCCCCAAACCACTCTGCGGGCCCCGCCTCCCCCCCGCCCGGCCCCCCAGCATTGCCTGTCCCGGCTATGATGGCTACTATAGCCGAACTTTTACAAAATCAAACAACAGCCATTTTGCAAGCACAAACCCAGTCAATGGCTATTTTACAAACACAATTTCAAGCGTCAGCTGCGATTTTGCAAAAGCTGCATACGCTCGCCTCCGCGGCCGCCCTCCCGACCCACCCGGAAGTCCCCTGGTCCGGCGAATGCGCCGGCCATGCGCCGGCCCTGGGCTGGGCGGCTCCCACTCCCGGGGCCGCCGCCTCCCTCCCGCGCAGCCCTGACCCCGCCCCCGGGGCTGCCGCCCCCCTCCCCCACGGTCCAGACCCCGCCCCCGCCCCCGGGGCTGCCGCCCCCCTCCCCCTCGGTCCAGACCCCGCCCCCGCGGCCGCCGGCCCCCTCCCCCGCAGTCCGGACCCCGCCCCCGGGGCCGCGGCCGCCGCCCCCCTCTCGCGCGGCCATGACCCCGCCCCTGTTTCCACCTCTTCTCCCTCGAGCGCCCCGGACCCCGCCCCTGCAGCCGCGGCACCGCCCGTCCTTCCCAGGGACGCCCCGGCTCCCGGCGCAGCACCCCCGCTGCCCGCCCGCCTCCTGCACTCGCGGCCGGACCCCCCGGCAGACGCAAACCCGGCGCCCCCACCCCCCCATCCCCCCGCGGCGCCGCAGCCCCTGCCTCTGGCTGCAGAGCACCTTAACCCCCCGCCGCCGGCACCACTTCCGGGTTTCCCAAACCCATCACCATATCCCTCCGTACCCCTCCCTTCGCCGGCTCTTCAGACTGCCACAGCAACCAATGCCATAGCGACAGCATATCCTTCCACAAATCCCAGTTCCCCACAGGTGCTGCTGCCCGCGACCTCCACCCCCCCTGCTCCTCTGCCTCGGCTGGCAGCAGCCCTTGCCTCCCACACTAACAGCTCCTCACCACACCCTAACGACGACACTATGCCTCAGCAACGTGAACGCAACAATGTAACTGCAGCTTCTACAAACAAAGGACAAACAGAGAACTATGTTACCCCTGCAAACTCTAACCTTTCTATCCCAGTCTCACCAAATTCTCAACACAGTGCCAACAATCTTCAATTGACTAACTGCCCTGAAATCAAATATGATAACCACAAAGAAGACAACCTGCCTTCCCAAGCCATACCGGCAATACCCAACCAACAACCTGCTAATCTCAAAACATGGACATTCCTTCCCTCCCATGATTTAAAAGAGTTGCGAAAAGCAATTAATGACGGTGGCATCTCCTCTTCCTATTTCAAACAGCTGTTGAAAAGTACCCTAGAGAGACACACACTCACGCCACATGACTGCAAACATCTTGCCACCACATTTCTCACGGACTCACAATATATATTGTGGGATCTTAAATGGAAGAGAATGCTTGCAGGAGTCCTGACTACATATAGACAAAGCACTGATGCACACCTTCGCACCCTTACCCTGTCTAAATTAACAGGTGACCCACCAGATGATAAGATCGAACATCAGGCGAATCTACCCAAAATGGTATTGGATGATGTCAAAAGGATGGCTCGCAGAGCCTTTTTACAGATTCAGCCAGCGGGAACTTCCGAAGAAGCATACAATCTAGTTACCCAAGGCTCATCTGAACCATTCACCACATTTGTAGACCGGGTAATTCAAGCTACTGAAAGGCAATGTGGTGATGATTTGGCCCGGCCGATAATGATCCGGGACATCCTCGAAAATAATGCCAACGCCCAATGCAAACGAATCATCAAGGCCCTAGGAAAAGAAAAACCTACAGTGCCTGAGATGATTGAAGCGTGCAACTATGTTGGGAGCCCACATGACGTGGCAGTCGTCCAAGCACATGAACCCGAAGAAACCCGGGGAGATAAACTGGAAAGGGCTCTTGCAGCACAAGCACAACAGGCAGAAGCAAGAGACCAGAGACTTACGGAACTTCTAACTGCCCTGCATCTCAGCTCCCAACAACAATACAACACCATGGCTGTCATGCAAGCTGCTCTGCCTTTAGGACCCTGCTACCTCTGCAAAAAACCTGGCCACATTGTAAAGGATTGCACAGAAGTCAACAAAAGCCCACAAACGCCTGATTCGTGCACCACCTGCAAAAAAGGAAAACATATGCCCTGGCAGTGCCGATCCAAACAAGATGCGAGTAGAAGACCTAATCCAAAAAACTCCAAGGCGAGCGCGCCGCGTCACCGCGTGATGAAACAAATGGTGGCCCCCCAAAACCCCGAGGTAAAATCTGCGAATATCCCGGTCCCAATGCCCTTCGCTGCATCACCAGCACAATCCCAGCTAATGACTCAAACTTACTATCCCCAGGCACCTGGTGCACTCTGGCGACCTCCAAGCCAACAACCTTCTTAAAGGATGATGGCTACGACTATATTTCGACAGGAACCACTGGGCCTTCACAACTCCGGCAAGACTTTCTAATAGTTGGCAAAGAAAGGAACTGCATCCTGGGGCTACTTGTTCTACCTTGTGTAGTCTCTGCTAACTGCAATGAAGAACTATTAGTGTTAGCCAAGGCTTACTACCCCCCATTGCATATTCCACCTAAAACCCCTATAGCCACTGCCATTGCACTGCCTATGGGAGCCATAGACCAGATACCACCACGTTGTTTCCCAGTCGCTTCTGAAAACCCCGAGGTCCTATGGGTTCAACACATAAGTGACCAAAGACCAATGCTAACTTGTGAACTATCAAATGGCGGGGTTCGAGTCACCATCAAGGGGATGATTGACACGGGGGCAGACGTTTCTGTAATTTCTTCTAGTTATTGGCCTACTGATTGGAGGTTGGTACCTCCCCCAAGCACTCTCACAGGCATCGGAGGTGTCACTCCGTGCTTGCAAAGCGAATCTGTGATCAGCATTGAAGGGCCTGACAGAATGAAAGCATTGATTCGCCCTTATGTGGTTCAGAAACCCATCACAGTATGGGGAAGGGACTTGCTTTCTGCATGGGGAGCTAAAATTGAACTGGGTTTTTTGTAGGGGCCACTAAAGCACTCAGCACTCCGAAACTGACCTGGAAGACTGACACCCCTGTCTGGGTCGATCAGTGGCCCCTGCCAGATAACAAGCTGAGTGCCCTCAAAGAACTGGTAGCAGAACAACTGCAGAAGGGCCACATTAAGCCCACTAACAGCCCCTGGAACTCACCTGTATTTGTGATCCATAAGAAAACCTCTAACACCTGGCGACTGCTACACGATCTCAGAAAAATCAATGCAGTGATCGAAAACATGGGCCCACTCCAGCCTGGCCTGCCCAACCTGTCCATGATACCCAGAGACTGGCCTCTTATCATCATAGATCTGAAAGACTGTTTCTTCAACATCCCTCTGCATCCAGATGACGCTCCTCGTTTTGCCTTCTCCATCCCAAGTACGAACTTACAAGAACCGCTTCAGAGGTATCACTGGCTTTCCCTCCCCCAAGGAATGAAAAACTCGCCTACTATCTGCCAATATTTCGTCGCCCGCGCGCTGAATCCAGTCCGCCAAAAGTTTCCACAATCCGTTATCCTTCACTACATGGATGATCTGCTTATTGCAGCACCAACACAAGAGCAGATGAGAGGGACTTGTAGTTATGCTGTTGCTGAAGTAAAAAAGGCTGGACTTGTGATCTCTGAATCAAAAATACAAGAAACTGCCCCCTGGAAGTATCTAGGCTGGAAACTAACAGATCAGTCTATTTCCCCCCAAAAGATACAAATCCGAACCGATGTCCGCACTCTACAGGACTTACAACAGATCTTAGGGGAAATTAATTGGGTTAGGCCTGTCTTAGGAATAACTGCTGATGAACTTGCTCCACTTTTTGATCTGTTAAAGGGAGACAATGAACTCAGATCCCCCAGGTCTCTCACTCCAGAGGCTTATAAAGCCCTAGAACACATCACTGACGCTCTGCAGAACAGGCAGGCACATCGCTATGTTCCTGGTCAACCCTTTTTCCTTGCAATCCTGGGAGAAAAGTTGAGGCTGTGCGGCCTCATCTTCCAATGGGACTCTTCTCTCAAGGATCCACTGTTAATAATTGAATGGGTTTTTATTTCCTATAGGTCACCAAAGACAATCCTCACACCTTTGGAGATGATGTCACAGATCATCATCAAAGGCAGAGCAAGGCTCCTTTCAATAGCAGGCCGCGAGTTTGAAACTATTTACCTGCCCATGAAAAAAACATATTTTGACTGGGCTATGCAAAAATCGGAGGACCTGCTGTATGCCTTGCTGAATTTCCCAGGCACCTGCTCAATTCACTACCCAGCACACAAAATGATCAAAGCCAAGTTATGTTATAAGGAGAAGCCCCTGATCAGTGAAGAACCTTTAAATGCAATTACTATCTTCACTGACGGGTCAGGCCGAACATACAACTCAGTTGTTACATGGCAAAATACAAAAACTAAAACCTGGGAACAAGATGTCCAAAAAGTTGAAGGTTCCCCTCAGATTGTTGAATTGGCTGCAGTTGTAAGAGCATTTCAGCTCTTTCCGGAACCTTTCAACCTGATCACAGATTCAGCTTATGTAGCTAATGTCATTAAGAGAATTGAGGGATCCGTTCTAAAGGATGTAAGCAACAATAATTTGTGTCTTTGGCTTACCTGTTTATATAACATTTTATCACACAGAGCTAATCCTTACTTTATCTCTCATATCAGGGCTCACTCTGGTCTTCCAGGATTCATGGCAGAGGGAAATGCACGCGCTGATGCACTGGCATCAGCCGCGTCTGATGAGGAAGGTTCAGCAAGCGTTGAAAAATCCACCTCGGTGCTTGCTGCAACCACCTTGCCCAACACTATTGAACAAGCCAAATTGAGCCATGCATTCTTTCACCAAAACGCACAGGCCATCAAACGAGATTTTCACATTTCCCTAGAGCAAGCACAAAATATTGTACGAGCTTGCCCAAGCTGTCAGCATGTGCAACCCCTCCCCCCTTCAGCAGCCACCAACCCGCGAGGGTTGGAGAGCCTACAGAAATGGCAAACAGATATCACTAAATATCCATCTTTTGGGAAGTTTAAAAACATCCATGTCTCTATTGATACATTTTCAAATGCAATTTTTGCCTCTGTACATACAGGGGAAACAGCCAAGCATGTCTGCCAACATTTCTCACAAGCCTTCTCCTATTTAGGTGTTCCCCAAGAAATTAAAACTGATAATGGCCCCTCATATACCTCACAAGAACTAGCCACATTCCTGAATGATTGGGGTGTTCACCATACATTTGGCATCCCTCACTCCCCCACGAGTCAGGGAATGGTAGAAAGAACACACCAAACCCTAAAACGCATTTTAAATCAACAGAAAGGAGGAGTAGATCAAGCTACACCTCAAAAGAGATTGAGTAAAGCTCTGTATGTCTACAATTTCCTAAATAGCTCTACAGAAGAGCCCGACCCCCCCATCTACAGACACTTTCTGAACAACAAAAAAGCAAAAATTAAGGAACACCCCCCAGTTTTAATAAAAAACTTAGACACAGGGCAAATAGAAGGTCCATACAACCTCATAACGTGGGGAAAAGGTTTTGCTTGTGTTTCTACAGGTCAAGGACTTAAGTGGGTCCCAGGAAAGAACGTGAAGCCTTACCATGCTCCGAAATCTGCTGACACCCCCACACCAGACAGTTCCTCTACAAGCACAAGCCAAGAAGCCAGCACCCAGACCTGAACCACGCTGCGTCATCGAGAGAAAAATGGACTTTCTATCGTTTAATGCGTGCATATTGTTTTTGTTCTTCTGTTTCAGTTTTTATATTGAAGTTTTACTTATAATTCAACCAAGGACAAATGCCGAGTAGCTTTAGCCAAGCCTGCAAGCTCTAAAACCACCTATATATCTAACACAAACCCTAACAAACCTTTTTCAACCCGTTTAATTATAAGACCTTTTCCAAAAAAATTCTGACAATGCCTCCCCTACTATAATCAGTGATTTAATAACAATAAGGTCATCTCAGCTATACAGTTTACTTAATAGTTTAAGCCTTGCACCTTGGCTAAAGGAACTCTGTAAAATAAGCTTGACTGTTCCACTAGCAATAAGTATAGTTCTAGTAACAATACCCTGTACACCTCCAAGTGTGCAGAAAATAGTTGTTAAATCAATATTTAATATTTCAAATGGTTCAGTGAAAAAGGGGGAGATGTTGGGGAGGGTAGATAAATATGATTAAGAACCACAAAGGTACAGCCAGGACGAGTATAACGCCCCCTACTGGCTGGACAATTACCCTCACCTACAGCGGGGTCCAAAAGCCGAATGGATTCTCCCATGTCACCCCCCAGAATGTATGGTTCACCCCACATCTGTAACCCTCCCCTGAACCATCAGGTGCCTGTGACCCCATTGGCCCAGGTCCTGTTCCAGCCCACCCTGGAGCCCCCCTTGATAAGGGGTCTCCGGGGGGCTGGACGCGCTCTTGGATCTTCCCTTCCCCTCCTGGAGAGTCCTCCGGGAGTCCCTGCTCTCCTCTCTGTCTCTCCCCTCCCCCATCACCCGAGGCCCAGCCACGTGCTGTGCCTGGCAGCTCGAGGCAGGGTCACAAATGTATCCTGAATAAACCTCTTCCCCCAAGAGCACCAAAGAGATCTCGCTTGAATCTGTCCGTGGAATACAAATATACGTCGTTACAGAGTCCCAGACAATGCTGGAAGTTCAGCCATGGGGATGGCCGTCTCCTGTACGTTTAAGATTTTCATCTTATAGCACCTGACAGCTGGGCAAACAGGCCTCCCAAAGTTGCAGGTAGCATTTGGGTGGATCTCATTTTACCTTTAATTTATTAATCAAATTATCTAACTTTTAACCTTTTCCTATTGTAAAATTTGGAACTGTTTTTCTACTTTCTTTTAGGGTTTCTATACTGGACTGAAGTCAATTCAGTTCCTAAATCAGGTATCAAAATAACTGCATCCTTTAGGAGTGTTCAGTTGCCTGACACAGGCCTTTAGTTTGGGTTTGTAGTGCAGCTGAAAAATAAGGAAAACTCTGTCCTCTAAATAATTCTTTAATGTCAAGAGTAAATTACACAGAGTGTGTGGAGGGAAAAAACATCCACACTATTCTGAGCTGGAAGTCTTGGTGGAGTTGTTCTATACTAGAGGCCTGATTCTCATTGCTTCAGCATAGCACAGTGAATGTGAGCTAAATATCTGCTAGCATCCTGCATTTGAATACTCTGCACAAAGGCTGTTTGGTGCAATCCCAAGGATAGAGACGGCATTCAGCGAATAAGCAGAAAACTGTGTGTTTTGCAGGGCTTGTCTGTTGGTGGGGAGATGAAGATTCTGTTTCTCTGTCAGTACTGGACAAGTCTGAAGGACTTAAAGAAGGAGGCAGTTCAGCAGAGACATTCACAACACTAGGCCTCAGCCAAGGTCAGAAGACAGCAAGTCATTAGTTCTCAAGTGCAGAATCGAAATATATTTAAGAAATATCCACTATGAATAAGATCTTTGTGGTTTTTTACTCAAAGGGAAAAACTAGAGATGCCAAGGATGTGACTTGTTCAAGTGTAATTACTGAGGGAAAATAAATAAATAAATACATTTGTTTACTTTGTCACAGTTGGTTTTTTTTTTCATTTGTTTTTCTGGTAAAGAAATCTAAACATTCATAGTGGTAAAAAAAGTCCTTCCTTTAATGTTAACTTTCCAGCAGGGAGAAGAAGCGATACGAGAAGGTGAATATTTGAGTTACAAGAAGTTTTCATTTACACTGGTAAGATTAAGTAAAATA